TTGCATCCCTACTATATACCTTATAATGATTTAGAAAGAGTACCCCTATATACCCTATAATGACTTATGGAGGGTATCCCTATGTATCCTATAATGACTTATAGAGGGTATCCCTATATACTTCATAATGGCTTACGAAGAGTACCCCTATTTATTTGATAATGCATTGAGTTATATAGATACCCAGTCCGACTGGGTGACCCAGTCCGACTGGTACCCAGTCCCCAGTTCTGCACTGGCACTGGTGCATACCTAATTACAATATATTAAGAACATTTAAAATAAAGATGAACAAAAAGATTCTGAAGCAAAATCGTTAAAATTCAATATTCATTGCTATGTATTCAAATTAACCTATTAGCTAAGTTTCTATTACATTTAGTAGGAAAAAACTCTACTTTACTTAGAAGTCAAACTACTGTACTTCAGTTATAGCTGAATCAATATATCGAGATGTTTATCAATATATGTCAATTTTTTTTCTGAATGAATTACACCAAGATGAATCACCATCATTGATTACATCTGAAAAAGCACGGCAATGTCTACAGAAAGCACTCAGTTATATGAAATTGTATTATCAAATAACCAGTAACAAATTTATCCATGCAGCTATGAAAGAGACTATAGGCGAATCAATGTTATGAAGTGATGCAGCAAATAAACAGAAATGGATGAATATGTAGAAAATTCCTTACAATGAAGAACTAGGTTATGAGTGTGAGATTGGAGCTCTGAATGTGGATTTGGGCGTTGCTTTGTGAAGGTATCAATGTAGGTGTTGGTATTCTCTTCATCCCTATCCATATCCACACCCACATATTCACAGCTGTATCCTCACATTTCGTTTAATTATATTTTATTCTTCTTAAATAGATTCAACTTTTCTTTGGCTACTACGCTAACTCAAGCCCGACCAGATGGCGCATAATATTATTAAGATGCCGATAAAATTTTAGCTAAGGATCCCTTGACCAAGGAAGCACATCCTGTCCGTGTTAATGGGAACTATTGGATTTGAGGATGAACAACCCATTGTAACATTATGAGTAGATTAAATTATATCGAATATACGTTTTCGGTTTCAATCATATCTCTGATTGGACATACATTTTAAAAGTTTTTAATAACCATAATCATGCAAGTAAAAATCTTCATAAGTAGTCGAACTGAAACCTAAATGAAGAAGGAGATTTAATGTAGCTCAAATATATGTTTGATTCAAATCCAGGAAATGAGGATGTCAGTGTTCTTCTTCTGATCTATGTTTGTATTTTGTAATTCTTCTAATATACATTAGTCATCGTTTTTCGTCGAGCTAATTAGAAACCAAAGTAGTAGAGTCATAGATTGTCAGTGCATGCAATCAGTTATTAAAATGTTTCCATTGACTTCATAAATGGTATTATTCTGTAAACAAATGTTTTGCTGTCAATTGCAGCTGATCGAAAGAAAAAAAGAACAACAAAAGCAAATGTCAAGGTTTCTGTCGCATATGTAGTCATCATCTAGTTTTCCTAATTGTGAGGATAGATTATAAAAATTTATTTCCATAGTAAAATGAAAAAGTACTAGAGTAAATTCAATATCAATTCCAAATGAAATGAATGAAAAACAGAAAAAAATGTCTGTTTAATGTTGTAGGTGACTACTGATTAAAATATGGAAAGGATTGTGACAATAAGAACAAAGCGAAATGAGAATATCGAATGGTGATTGTAAGTAGACCCAATTGAACTGATAGTGACGGAGGTAGTTATGGTAATGATTCGTACACGTATGACAGTTTCAACGGTCAACATCAAATTGTATTGATTATCTTGAACGTTAACACTTACCGTTGTATTATTGTCTGCTATGGATGGAGCTTGTCAGGTGAATAGTGTTGTTTGATTATCAAGTGTGCAATTGTTTGGTCCTGAAAGAAGTGTATACAATAAAACCGAAGCATAAGCACTTACAGCACTGAAGTCTAAAGTGGCCAACGTCGACGGTACAACAGTAGTGATTAACTGAAGACCAGGATTGAACACTGACAGACTGCGTGAATCGACAGCGATTGCCAACACTTCATTGCCAGTTATCAATGAAGTTCGTCCGAAAGTCATATCGTAATAGCAAATACGTTGTGCTACAGTCTATGCAGATCGATTGCGTTTGACTGATTTGAGCAAATGATGACTGTGGTGATACAAACGAGGGTGTAATAATTTGGTTTTATAGCCAATAGAGTGTAGCCGAATCACTAGACTCATAGTAAAAGAGTGAAAGCAGTGGATCGATTGTCCAAGTTTGCGCGAAGCTCTGATGTATCTGTTCATCTTTGTTTCACCAACTGAAATATTTTCACGTGCATCAATATCCGACCAGAAGTCTGCAACTAAACGGCGACTATCGTTCAATGGAAATGCATCAGAAACACATTGGATAATAGGGCCAAGAAATAAGAAAAGTCCATTGCTTGATAGATAGATTTGATGGTGGTTGCTTTTTTAGAAATATGGAAACACTCGTGGTAGTGGCAATGCATTTATGCTATTGTCATCATTCGGTGGAAGCAATGGATCACCGGCACTGCTTCCGAATGGAAAGAATTCATTCAATGAAATCGTCTGAATGCCAATCAAGACACAGGCAAAAATCAAAGATATGTGAAGCATCATTGGTTTATTTGACTTCTCAAATTCAATTGATGAATGCGTATGTGATTCTTTGACTTTTTATATAAGTTCCTTTTGTCTGTGAACTGTACCCAGACGACAATGATTCAAAGTGAAACAAAGACGAAAATTAAACATTTCGATGATGTTGATTGACGACCAAATGCTTATGAAATTCTGCCATTTTTGCTGGCGTTTTTAAGTAAGACTGCATATGACTTCTTTCTTTCCTTGAAAATTTCAAGGAAACAAAGATGCCGCTTTCATTTTTAAGAATCCGACAAAAATAATATTTTGGTTTCTGTCATGAATGCGAATTGTTGTGCATTAATTTGAAAGATTAAATATTTATGTTGTACTTGTTCAAGTATTTAATGAGCCTTTTCTACTGAGTTCATTTCGTACTCTAAAGTGTTTTTCTCATCAGTCTAAATAGGTTCGCCCTCCGATAGGTCTCTTTCACTATAATGACATGTTTTATGAATGCTATTCATCGAATACTTGCCATTCGATTCTGATCGCTTGGATTGCTCTTTCATCAAGTCAATAGAGTACTGTAGCTAATCACAGCAACCAAGGAAAATTCTATATTCAGAAAACCAGTTGTTTCAACTTAGTGATCGAATTGCAATCTTTGATTATTCTAATGATTGTATATGATGAAAAAAAATCAGTCTGTAAACAATAGATGACGTCTTAGTAAATATTTTTACGTCTAAACGGACGGCAAACGTAAAATCTTGCTCTTAACAATGAATTATCAACAAAATTGTCGTAAGTGTGGGTGTGGGTATACTTGAAAGTAATAAATTACCTACTCTCACACCCAGACGAAACTTCACACATACGTGCACCAACATCCCACACTCTCGATGGAAGGCGAGCGCTGCAACGAAAGCAACTGCCAAACACGCTTCTCACACTCGTCAGTAGTATCAATTGCAACCTTGCTCAAACTAACCTTATCGACTGGTACCTTATTTTGTTTAAAAGAAGCGAAGGTGTTGCGCAAATGACAGTAGCATCCTAGGATTTTACGAATCACTTAAATCGAATTTTGTTTTACACTGAAACTACTAGTAATAGCAAGCGAAATGTAGAACATACTGATCATATAGACTGTTTGTAATTTCTTTTTTATGAACAGTAAAAAATGTCATCGAAAACAAACGTTTTAATATTGACGTTCGATCCACTCATGCGGTACCGTTGTATTTAGGTTTATTGTAACCAAGATATCGTTCACATGAAGGACAAAAGTGTTTATGGCTCGTATAATCTTTAGGGCAACAAAATGGCCATAAACAACTGCAAAGAAGGAAACCACCACAGATAGTTAAAACCTTAAGTTCATTCATTTTTTCCTCATCAAATTTTGAGAATTGTACAACAGTGGTTATTTGTTTGCGGCAATATGGACAGACCATTAATAATGGATAAGCACCATATTCACCTCGAAAAACACGCGCCGATTGAGTCGGTTGACATCTAAAAAGAGAAGATACGTCACTTGGCGAATTATGCACAGTCGATGAACTATTCTGCGAATGTACAATGTTCGCTTGATGACCTATAATGAAGACAAAATCATTTTCATATAAAACTTCTTTAATTCAGCACTGATTTCTTCTATAACAAGTATATAGGAACAAAGCTTCCATTTGATTTTGAAAATCGTTAATTAATCGATATATTAACATAAAATAAACTAACTCTTACCGAGCAATTGTTTATCATTAGTGATTGAGAACAGCGATTGTCCAGTCTGATCGACATGAAAGCATCCATTTGAAGTTTGTGCTGTTGGTGACGACATGTTCAATATTTTTACAGGAAATAGTCCAAGCAGTTATGTTTCATTCTTATTGAAGTAAGATTTTCTTTCATCAAAACGAATGACGAAAGTATGACGTAAATCGCTTTACTGATAAGAATTGAAAATAAAGCACATTTTTCTAAATGATAAGGTCTATAGCTTTTTAAGATTCTTTTTTGAGATAATAATATTTGACGCAGCTAGTCTTGGAAATATGATGATTAAGACAAAATAAACTAACACTCGTGCTCAAAAAACTCGCGTCTTCAAATAAGTACAAATGTACAAACTAAACAGATGGCCTTTCTTATCGGATTGGCAAGTGAAATTTTTATAAATAATGCTTTCATGTTTCACATGTCTGTTGAAGAAAAAAACAGTCTAAGAGTAAGGAGCACTTTCTATTCTGAGAATCTGTTATTCTAATGGTACGAATACGGCAATGTTTCTTATTAGATGTCATAACATAACTAAAGTGTTGTCTTGCAATGAATGCGACAATAGTTAGAAAGAGTTAAGAAATTCAGCTTCGACAACGTTATATATTCTTTATTACGGATTGTAACGAGTTGAATGTAGAGAAAAAAATGATAAAAAGTTCAGAAGAGTATGTTGATCAGTTGTAATTTTTACAGCACTATTGTTTCTTTTTCAAAGCAGGAGTCAAATTCCCAAGTCTTCTAAAGCGCTCTTCGCACCAATGATCAAAACGGATCTCCTAATACGACGGAGAGTTTCGGCTATTCAGTAATCAGCCTTCTTTTCGTACTAGGTATTTAATTCTTATAGGTAAATCCATGAAATACCTGTATTAACATTCTCTATAAAGATTCACTTTAACTCGCATAAACTTTCATGAATGAATATTGGAGGAATTCAATCTTTTATGTTTGATATTGCAAAATAAGTGCAAATCAAACGAAAGCCATACGAAGAGATCCTTGAGTAATGTGGAACTGTGTTATGGATGCTTTTGAACAAGACCTATGTAGATTTTTTATATAAAATTCTTTAGTGAACCATTTGAATAGAGAAAATGAGGCTTAATAAAGCGACTTTTCTCCCCAAACATTTTTGAAAATGAATCGCATGCAGATAACAAGCGAGTTATGAGCTACAACTTGGGTACAGTCGGTTATTTTGATTTGCCTTCGACTTCGTCGAGGTTTGTATCCGCTTCCTCACGGAATTTCAAAAATATTTGTTTATTTCAGTAGATTATAAAAAGCTGTATAGTGTCGATGCTTGTGACCGCCTATACTATCTTGTTTTGTTTCATAAACGTTTTCGACAGAGCAAAAATCGAGATTTTCAAGATTTTTGTCTTCAGCCAAAAAAAAACAGATTTTTTACCTGCTGTTGGTCTGTTTCAATATTGTAAACTACGGAAAATACACTAAAAAACAGGTTAATCGATTATTCTTTATCTGCTAATACATAAATCAAAGCATTTCGATGTATAGAACAGTTCACAGGGTCGAATTTAGACACAGTTTGTGGGTACACCATGGTATGTCTCTTTTGTTTGAGTGATAATGCTTCGTTAATCGACTTTGCCACCTTTTGACGACGAGTGTCGATGTGTTGAAACCCGTTCAAAGATTCAAAAATGGGTGCCAACTAAGATACAGTTTTCAAGTCGTTGGAATCCGATAGTCGTGGAGACGCTCGATATCGGAAGAGAACGAACATAAAGTGTATATTTAAAATTTTTGACTGCTTGTCACGTCCATCGTATGCTTTTCAAAGTCTGCTTGATACTTCTGAACAGAGAATATCAAAATCATCTAATGCAGTATCTAGTGTTTCGAATTCATTTGGGTAACGAATCCATTAAAGATGAAAAAATGATGACGCATTCACTTATTCAGATCTGTGGTCGCTTAATTTTCATTTGTAGTAGAAAATCGTAATTATCGATAGAAACAACGACCTAGGACGAGACAAAAAGATGATTGTTCTCTTAATTTACTGTCTCTCTTTTACAAAGTGAAGCATAATCTGATTGAAAATTGTCTCCATATGATAGATGTCATAATACCAATACGACGGATATCGACAGCCAGCCGTCACGATACCCTCAAGAATGAACAACGAAAGTATATTGACATTACCATCACATATTGTACCGAGAAGTAATGACTTCATTACCGTACCAAAAATATATCCATCAT